CCTCCTTCTCCAATTAGCGGGGTCACTCAGACATGGTACTGCAGAGCAGGTCCAGCTGAAGAGGAGGCTCTGGGACGGGTTGTCTGTGGCACTCACTACAGCCACCAGGGCGGGTCGGCAATCAGTGCAGGGCAGGTTCTAGTAGGCCATGCCTGTGCTGCTTGGTGGTGTGATGTTAAGCGCATGGTGCAGGTAGGCAGGATGTAGCAGGGAGATTGTTATGTGTGGAGCTAAGATGGATATGGGAGAGAGGAGAGAGGAACAGGACCCAAAAACATACAAACAAACAAAAAAGAATGCTAGGGGAGCTTGCCATTGGAGTGGAGAGATAAGAGACTATGAAACGGAGAAAAACAGAAAGGGGAAGAGGAAGAAAATAAAAGAATGAATAAATAAAAATCAGAAAGGTTAAAGAACCGCAGGTTTCCCAGGGATCCCACCAGTGCAGCTATGAGGTCTGAGGAAGTCGCTCTCAGGTGTTGCAGTACAGCCTGGCAAGAAGGCGCAAAGGTATACAATGCCAGGTATTCACGGAACAGATAGAGAAGGAAGATATAGAGAGATGAGAAACTCAGTAATGAAGAAAGACAGAAAGGCAAAAAGAGGGAAAAGAAAACAAAACAAATTAAAAAAAAGGAAAGGACAAGTAAAGCCCTCCCAAAAAACAAAAAAAAAAAAAAAAAAAGAAAAAAAAATTCTCTCAGGGATCCCTCTGCACGTCTGTGCAAGCTGAGGGAGTAGTCTCCTTGCCACGCAGCACTGCCTGGCCAGAAAGGGCTCCCAACTCAAGAAAAGGAAAAGAAAACAAACAAACAATTCAAAACAAACAAACGAACAAAAGCCCTAGGATCCCACCAGCGTGGCAGCCCAGACCAGGAGGCAGCTCCACACTTGAATGGAGCTCCACAGCCCCTCAGGAAGAAGCAAAGATGGTGCACGGAGCCAGGTATTTGAGTGAAAGGAGGGCGAGGTGGTGAGAGGTAAGGAAGAAATCAAAAGAAGCGGAGAAAAGCAACGCCAGCAGCCAACAAATGGCACTCAGAGAGCCGGCCCGTTCGGGTATGTGGAATCCAAGCAGCTGGTGTTTCCCGGACAAGAGATTGTGGCCGCGGGAAGCAGAGGAGGCCGAGTGGGGGTGAAAAAGGGTGGGGGATGGGAAAGCATATATTGCAAATTACCAGTTGTTTTGTCTCCTGCTGGAAGCTCCGTGAAGCTGCTTTCTCGTACCCCGTTTGCTGGTCTCCGATAGGAGTCCAAGATGGCAGATCCGCGCTGCGTTAGCTGGCAGGGGACCTCTGCATGAATCTCTCCTCGCTCTCCGTTCTCTGTCAGTTTTCTCACTCCATTTGGTGCTTGGCTGAGTTCTTTATCTCTTCATTTGATGTTTTAGGCTTTCAGGATTGTTGTTTTCTCTGTTCGTCTTAGTTTTTCAGATCTTTGCTGTGGAGGGACGGCGTGGTGCTTCTGCCTAGAGCGCCATTTTGCTGGAAGTCCCCGTTTTGTTTTATAAGGCTGTCCCATCCCCGGTTCTTGCAAAATTTTATTATGCCATCTCTGGTGTCATTTCTATCACCAAGGCCATATTTTCTAACTACCAAACCCTTCTTTGTTTCCAACTTTTGCATTCTAATCACGAGTAATTATTAATGCATCTTGATTGCATGTTTGATCAATTTTGAGACTGCAGAGGTTGGTAAAAATCTTCAATTTATGCATCTTTGGCATTAGTGGTTAGTGTGTAAATTTGAACAATCACATTAATTGGTCTTCGTTGTAGCCATATGGATATTATCGTATCACTGACACCGTAAGTACTTCAGAATAGATCTTGAAATGTTCTTTCTGATGAATGCAATGCCAATTCCTCCTCAATTTGTCATTCCCGGCATAATAGACCATATGATTTTGCAAATCAAAATGGCCAATGCTTGTCTATTTCAGTTCACTAATTCCTAGGATATTGATCTTTATGCATTCCATTTCGTTTTTGATGACTTTCAATTTTCCTTGATTCATACTTTGTACATTCCACGTATACATGGATGTTTGCCGCTGTTTCTTCTCATTTCAAGTCGTGCCACAACAGAAAATGAAAGTCCTGAAAGATTTACTCCATCCATGTCATTAAGGTCAACTTTACTTGAGGAGGCAGCTCTTCCCCAGTAGTATTTTCAGTACCTTCAAACCAGAGGGGCTCATCTTCTGGCACTATATCAGACAATATTCCCCTGCTACTCTTATGGTTTTCATTGGACAGTTTTTTCAGAAGTAGATCACCAGGTCCTTCTTTCCAGTCTGTCTTAATCTGGAAGAGCCACTGAAATCTGTCCACCATGGGTGACCCTGCTTGTATTTGAAATACTGGTGGCATAGCTTCCAGCATCACAGCAACATGCAAGCCACCACAGTACGACAAACCGTCTACCTTTCTCACACAAATTTCATGTACTTAAAGAATTTCACTACATAGAAACTCTTTAACTTGGTCTACAGATTAATGTCATTAAAAAATCCAAACTATTCCTATTATAAAAATAATATATTCTCCTTATAGAAACATATCATAAAATATTGTTGAAGAATAAAGAATACCAATGATCCCATCCTGAAATCATAGGTATAATCCTGGTGTGTGAGTTTCTAAGTCTTCTACTGTGCATGTGAATACAGACACAGACATATGTATAATCTGTATGTTTCTGTAAACATGCAGTTTTTGCATGTAGAGATTAGATCAATTGATATATAGTGTAACTCTGATACCACATTTAGAGTATTACTTTAAAAGGAGGTACTATACTGATATTCTTATTTGAGTTTCTATTTCATCTTTAGTACATTCACTGAATTCTGCTAATTTACCTGATAAATTGCAGTGACTTTCAGATTTGTGTCACCAAAGAACAACCTTAACTATAAACAGGATTTCTCTTAAGAAGGTTGGCATGACTTTGATCTGGTACAACCAGAAATAGAAATTCCAAGAAAAAATTATATACAGTCCTCCTATGTTTCCCAGATTGATAACACATCAGGTGCTCAGTAAGTATGTGTTGGTTGAATGAATACGTAAAGAAAAATACTTTTTTGGGGGGAGTTGGGGGGGGATATTTTACAATACTCTTCTAGTCTCAGCCCCATCCCAACACTGTAAAAACCCACATGATATGATAAGCAGTGAGGGGAACATTAGAAGGAGATGTTGGGAGAATCAGCCTGGTCACTATAACATTTATCCCTAACCTTGGAAATGTTTGACCTGGGAAGGCTCCTTCTATTTTTATCTATGTAAGCCCTCAGCATTTTATATTTATTTCCACACACTGGTGTTTGGAGAAATCACATAGATCTATATATAAAATTGTTGAAAGATGAAGGCAAAATATTCCAAGTGCAATTTGTTATCGCATATTTCTAGTTAATATTGAAGGGAATGCAGGAAGATAGCAGGAAGTTTCAATGCTGTAGCAGCTTTAAGTCCAGATACCTGCAATTTAAGTAGGGAATCATAATGACTCCATCAAGTTTGATTAAGGCCATACTCCACAATAACTCAGCATTCTCATTACTTCAGTTTCTAGGCCCCTTCATGATACATTTAAATAGGAAGTGTATATATAGAATGTGTGAAATGTTAGAAAAGATGGTGTCTTAGTGTGAATTATGTTAACCAACTTGCTTTCCTCCTAGAACCAAGTCAATTTTTGAAGAAATGAGAGTGAGGGGAGTTTCAAAGGAAAGAAGCTAGTAGAAAACAGAAAATGACCAAAATATTTTTGGAGGACAGGTTTAGGTGTGGTACTTCAGTATAAAACTTTGAATAACCATGGAGCAATATGAGGATTCTGGGCCTGCCTGGACAAGGAGTGGTAGCAGAGACAGGACAGTAGGCGGTAAAAGAACATCATCAAAGTTACTTTGCATTAACACAGTGTCTGACACATATTAGGCACCCTATACATATCAGGTCAATAAATGAATTGCAGCTTAGACCTCAGGTGACTAAAATAATGTTTATCCATCACTGAATATCATATCATTTTGTGATAATCCGAATCTATCATCATCGTTTTACGAACAGAATTACTATCATCAGTTATTGTCGTTGGTTGCTGTCAGGTTGGTTCCGACTCATGTGCAGAGTAAAACTACTCCATAGGGTTTTCAAGCTGTGACCTTTTGGAAGCAATCACCAAGCCTGTCTTCCGAGGTGCCTCTGGGTGAGTTCCAACTGCCAGCCCTTAGGGTAGTAGTCAAGCACTTAATCGTCTGTGCCACACAAGGACTCCTCATCAGTTGCAGTATAATCAGAAGAACAGTTCTGTTTGACCTCCTACTTATGTTTTAACTATGTCAATATGTGATGTACTAAATGAAGTTGGACTTGCTCTTGGTTTTAGCTTCATTCAGCTAGTGATTATTAACGAACACTAGTAATTTAACAAACTATTACATACAGGTAAAGCTAACAGAATTTATAATCTATTTTAATGACTGTGAGATCTCATTAGTAATAACCTCATCACTGGGTGCAAGCTCCTTTTAAACTATTTTTCAAACTGAACAACTTTAAGGAAAATTAAATTTGGAGAAAATAAACTTTCATAATCTCACCACCATGATACCACTATTATCATTTCCATATATTCCCTTTTATCTTCATTGTACTCAAGCCTGTTCCCCAGAGTTGTAGTAATATTTGTAAATATCGGTATTTTAAAATTCAATTATTTTTACATTTTATGAACTCTTCAATTAATGGACCCTCACAATATCTACCAATGAAAGAATATTTAAATTGGTTTCATGGTATTTTTATTTGAATTTTAATACTCATGTATGGTGGGCTTTTTATTAATGTTTCTATGTAATGCTTTCTATAGCTAAAATATTACTAAATTCAATGAAATAAATTTTTGGCATTGACAATAACTTTAAAATTTGGTTTAAAACAAACACACAGCAGATAAATATTTGAGAAGAAGAAAAGCATTTGTTACCTGAACCTTCCAATTCTTCTTAGATGTGAAAACATTTCACCTCCAGGGACATATTCCATAACCATGTATAAATTAGAATTATCCTATAAATAAATGAAAAGAATTAGTAAACCAAAATTATGTAACCTAGATTATTTCTTGAAAAAATATTTTAAGATTTCACCATATTCAATTAGAAAAAGACAAATTTAAAATCCATTAGACAGATTAATATTAGGAAACAAAATAAATGAAAAATGCTCTAGCTTTTCTATACTGCGGTAATCATTTATTTATTTATTTTTGTATTCTTGCCACACATTAGTCTGGGACTTTTGCTGTTCCTGCTCTTGCAGGGAATGCTTACTTCTTGAACAATTAAACACTGAGGCAATGATATAAGGCTATAATGCAGGCAAAGACATAACAAAGTTAAAAACAATTTGCAAAACTTAATATCTACATTTTATGTATTAGATCAGAGAGATTAATAATTTTAATGGGATCTTAAACACATAAGTCTTCATTTGACTTAAAGAATAAAGGGAAACAGAAAGTTAAAATATTTCATATGAATCAATATTGCAGTGAGCTGCCAAGTGTTATTCCACTGAGCTGAAAAACTGCCAATTTAAAAAATAAATTTTTGTGAAGTTGTATAAGCCACCTAAACAGTGAGTCAAAGATCATTCTGCCTCATATACATGAAAATACTATAACAATCACTAAGTAAAAAAGGTCAGAAAGTGTTCAAGGAAAGCTAAAGAAGGTGTATGGGTATATTCATTTGCGTGCGTGTAAGAATCACTTAATAAAATATCACTGTGGCTTTTGATAAATTGAAATATTAGACTTTGTAATACCATGTCATGAAGAGTTACACATGTCACTTTGAACAATTTCCCCCAGGAGAGCCTTTTCAAATGTTGCCCAGGTTTACAAGCACAATAGGATTTAATTACATAAATTCTGAAGATATTTCTTTTTATGGAGCAGGAGAAAAGTGGGGTACAGAACTCAAATTCTAGTAAAAAGATCAGACTTAATGGTTTGATTGAGACTGGAGAGACCCCAGAAGACATGGCCCTCGGACTCTGTTAGCCCAAAACTAAAACCATTCCTGAGGCCAACTCTTCAGACAAAGATTAGACTAGACTATGGGACATAAAATGATACTCATGAAGAGTGTGCTTCTTAGCTCAAGCAGATACATGAGACTAATTGGGCAGCTCCTGTCCAGAAGAGCGATGAGAAGGCAGAGAAGGTCAGGAGCTGGTTGAACGGACACAGGAAATCAGGGGTGGAAAGGAGGAGTGTGCTGTCATAGTATAGGGAGAGCAACTAGGGTCACATAACAATGTATAAATTTTTGTATGAGAGACTAACTTGAATTGTTAACTTTCACTTAAAGCACAACAATAATTAAAAAGAGATATTTCTTTTTTATTTTTCCATAATCTCCAGGTTTATCATCTCATTTAGAATCCTATTATAGCTTCATATTTTAAAAATATATATCAAGTTGAAAATATTTTATTTGGATATTACTAAAATTTACCTTGAAAGAATACTCCAGTCGAACAAGAAAAGGAAAATTCACTGCCTGTAATATTCTTTTCTCATTCAAAGTATGCTCTATTTGCTTCAGTTTAACAACCTGTAATTGAGAAATAAATATATTTAATGTATTTGAACAAAATGACAAACCTACTATCTTTAAAAAGAAATAATAAAATAAAATGCTTTCCATATAATAGTGAACTTGGAATAACAAAATTGCTAGAATTGGGTAAGGATGATAATAATAATTACTAACCAAGCTTATAAGATTCAAATGAAAAAGCTAATAGAGAAGTTAAAACTGATCTTAAGATGGTCAACTATGATTTCAGTTAAGATACTGTTTAAGAAGCTGAGTGGGAACAGGATATTCCCTGCTCATGATAAATCACTTAAAAATGTAATAGGTGAAAATACTTAGCTCCTAATGACTTACAGTCTGCTAAAGAAGCCGGCCCAAATTGCTGAAATAAGTAGGTATTGATTTTAAATACTTCAGAAGATCAGTAAGGAAAATAAGGACTGTGCAAAAGCCAATAACTAAAAAACAGTGGGTAAAATGAACAATCTGTAACACCTGAATAAATACTGGACAAACGCTAAAAAATTCAGCTTGCATAGCCACTGAAGAGGACGTACAAAATACTGGCAACAAACTCCTATGTCTTTATAACAATTGGGTCATTTAGGATTAATCAAGCTTCCTCTAGATTGTCTACTTAGTCAGATACATACAAAGGGAAAGCAATTTATTTTGACTTTATAAAGACTATGATTCTATCCCACATGTCATTCTATTGGTTTTGAGAACAGGTGACCTCAGGGAGACATTCATTCTTGCTACAGGCTTATTGTTAATGTGGGATAGTCTCAGAAATCAAGAAGTTCAATGTGAATAAGAAAGGTAATTAAAGATACGAGCCAGTTATTGGTGTAAAAATAAGACTAAGGAAAAAATAATTGACTCAGAGTCAGCAGGCCTGTGTTCTAATCTAGGCCTTCTATACAACCAGCTTTGTGACTTTGGAAAGGCTATTTCAACTCTCTGGATCAGTTTTGTTACCTGTAACATGAAATGGTTGGATCATTACCGTCCAAATTCTAATTAGTCCACACTTTTCACAATAAATTGTGTAACATTAGCTGAAGAGTTACTGTTACTTTGTTTTTAATTTTGTATACTATGCTATAGCAGATTTTTAGTTAGGCATAAACAATGTATTAGCTTGTAAAATAAGTAATGAAAACTACAACAGAGAGGCTTCCTTCATTATAGTCCTAAACCAACTGTGTGTGTATGTGACATTATATGATTAAAAATAGAAATGAATCCAAGATATATTAACTGGCAAAGCAAATGTTCTTTGAAAAATCTAATTTAATTTTAAATCTGCATACGAAGGCACAATTATAGGTGTTGTACAGATTAAGGACAGGCAAGTGTCCGCCATCATGCTGTACAAAATCTACTTGGAAGTACAATGAATGTTTATCTGAATAGCAATATATGAAAATAGTTAAATGAGTTACAATGTGATAAGTGTTCAGAGGAGACAATGTTTACTTTAGGCATAGTACATAATTTTCTGATATTTCTTCATCTGTAAAATGCTGATAACAATATACCTACTTTAAAGGTGGCTGTGTGGCATAATGTATGTCAAGTGACTAACACAGTGACTGGCAAATAGTAAGAGCTCAATAAATGTTAAAGGATGGACAGATAACAAAGATTAGGCAAAGACAGAAAAGATACTTCAGTCTGGAATTATATTCAGAACCCATACGTCTTGAAGGGGGAAAATATACAAAGGTACATCTGAGTGGAAGTGGTGGTTCCATTTGCCCACAGCTTAAGACAATGCTTCTCAAAATTTGGTAATGAAGTATCCCTAATTGGCAGAGAAAAATTTATAAGTGCCCCTGGGGGTGTAGTCCAAGTTTTATTTTCAAAATTCATATAAATTTTGTATTTACTACTTAATATTTCTCTTGGTTTAAGTGCATATATTTAAAAGCATTTATAAATAACTTGTCAGCTGAATTCTTTTCCTACCCAAACGCTTGAGGAGGTATTAATAAGGAAGATAGGCCATATGTCATCACCAACTTCCCTACCCAACCCAGCAGAGTCCTGTGTACTCGTGTGTGTCAAGTTCCAAGTCAGAGAAGTAGAGCATGGAGGACCTGCAGGGGAACAGTGTGAACGAAGACGGCAATGGAGATTGGAAGAAAATTATGAAGGATTTCGAAGCAGGCTGAAAAGTTCTGACTTCATTTAGTAAACATCAGGAAGCTTTTTGAAGGGGGGAGTGGAATGATATGAAATAGTAAGAAAATTTCGTCGGTAGTGAGAAGGATGGATTAGTAAAAACTGAAAAATTTGGGGCTAGGAAAATCAATTACGACGTTACTGTGAAATACCAGTTGGCGTTAATGAGGGATCAAACTAGGTAGTAGTAGGAAAGATCTTAGGGATAACAATTACATTTTAAAGAAAGCATTAAGAAGAATGATAGGCATAGAAGTCAGACAAACTGAAGTCAAATTCTTGGTTTACTAGCTCTTCGACTTTGAGAAAATTCCTTAAATAGAGAGGTTATTGGTATAAAAGGAGATTAATGTCACACAAAGTTGTTGTGAAGATTCAATGATATAATAAAGTGCATAGAAATGCTTAACTCATAGTATCTAGTGAAAAAATGTGATTTCCTTAATTTCTGCATTGATTTCCTTTCCCTCACTCCAAACACTCTAAGATAGGGAGAAGCCAAAATAAAACTAGTTGAAAGATTTGTGATTTTTATTAACAGAAAAGGGGTATTATAGTTTTATTTCATTACTTATCTTCAAAAATTAAATAAACTTGGAAAAAATTCGAAATATAAAATCTTTCATCCTAACTATGCACAGATTCAGAACTCGTTGTAATAGAAATAATTTAAAATAGCAGCTATTACTCTGGGAAATATTTGTGTGACATGATTTATCCAAGAGGTAACTTTCTCAGTAATTTACTTAACAAGGGAATTAAAGGAATTAAAAACTTCTTTCCTAAAAGTACTTTAATGAATAAAAATGGCACATTTTGTAATCCTCTTAATATTTTAAAAGTATATTCTGTTAATTCTTGAAGAAAGATAACATAAAAGATCAGAGATTATCCATACAATAACAATTTTAATGACAGGTTTAATCAAAAAGATAAATCAGAAGCATTTTGTTGTTGTTGTGCTACCAAGACAAGTATATACAAGCCACTTACCTCTCTGATACCCAAATTACTCATCTGAAAATGAGGGAAAGAACTAGATGGTCTCTAAGAGTTCCATGCTCAGATTGTACATACAAATTAGACATAGAGCTCAGGAAAGAGTTGAAGCTGTTGGAGAAGAGTGTACAGGGAGAAGGTATAGAATAGGAAAAAGGGAAGAGGGGCTAGTCTGGAGCCCTGGAATTAGCAATCTTTAAAGGGTAGGCAGAAGAAGAAGAAACACATAAAAAAGGGACAGAAAAAAAAAAAGCTCAAGGAGACAGGAGCATAATCGGGAGAGCATGGAGTTTCTGAAGTCCACGGAGAAGACAGTTTCACGGAAGTGGTCAGCAAAGTCCTATGTTCTAAAAAAGTGAACTGAGATGAGTAAAAAGAGTCCACTGGACTTGACAATTAGGTCACTGGATTTGGTGACCCTTGGCAGAGCCATTGCAGTGGAGTAGCAAGAGGTGAGGGATAAATGAGGAGGTGAGGGATAAATGAGGAGGCAGCTAAATTGTTGTGGGTTGAAGAATTAATAGGAAGTGAGTTAGTGCACAGCAATTATACTCCTTTTTCAAGTAGCATGGTTAGAAAATAAATGTGAGAGAGAGCAATAGACAAAGATGCACAATTAAATGATTGCGTATATGGTATATTGAATATTAGAGAGACTTAAGCCATTACTTCTTTTCATATTAGAGGTTAGTTTTGTTTTTTCTTTTAATTTAGAAGTTAGACTATAAAATACACATCAGGTTTTGAAGATTTAGTGTGAAAAAAAGAATGTAAAATATCTCAATAATCTTTATGGTAATCCCATGTTGGAATGATAAAATTATGGATATACTGGGTTAAACAGAATATAGTATTAAAATTAATTTCACCTGTTTCTTTTTTTAATGTGGCTACTGGACAATTTAAAATTATCTATGTGGCTCATATAATGTTTCTACAGGACAGCACTAGTATAGCCACTATTTATAACCCAGACTATTAGTTTAGTACTGTTTCTTCCACATTTTGCTACCTATATACCAATAAAGTAAAAAAAAAAAAAAAAAAAAAAATCATTGTAAGATACTATATCAAGATTTGCCATTTTTTCTTTTCCTTCCCTTAATTTTAAGTAATTAATAGGAAATTAGAAGCTAAATATTTAAGGCATGATTAATTCAGACATTCTGATCCATTAGGTATGCCAATATGTTGTAAATACTTTAAAATTGTTTTTTATAGTATGTAGGTTTTTAAAACTTTTCCTTGCTTTAACTTTTAAATTAATCAAACCCAATCACGTTAATAAGAGGGCTTCTACTGTAATTAAAATAAAGTATAACTAAAATGACTAAATTTCTGTTACTTGTTAATTAGTCCCTGAATTTTTCTACGAGGCAGAATGTAGCAGCAATGCTTGATCTTTACATATTGAATTCAATATTTTGTTAGGAAAATATTATGTGTAAATAATTATTGAAATAATATACCCCCATGTACTGAAGCTGTTAACTATGTACCATGTAGTCACAATAAATAAGAATGAAAATAGAATGCGACAGTAAATTATCTGATGCTCTGGCAATGCTGTCATTATATTGCATCTACTGAATATTCTAGCTGGTAAGACTGAAGTTTACCCTGCAGGCAAATAATGAGTAAACGTACTAACCTTCTGCTTATCTAAGATCTTCATGGCATAATACTGTTCAGTGGCTTTATGTTTCACCAACATGACTCTTCCAAATGAACCTGTCCCAAGGGTTTTTTTCCTTTCAAAATCCTCAAGCCCAGCATTGTTCTATGTATACACAAAAAAATAAAATCAGAAGTTTTCATGAGTAGAATATAATAGTTTAGCAACATATAATCAAAATGGATCATTTAATTTACAACTGTTGTTTTTAAAAAACAATACAAAAGACTATTGAGATTCCAGGTAATTGGTTCTATTTTCCCCTTTGAATAAGAAAGGATCTAATAACTAAGAAGAGAACTTTATTGCAAAACAAAGCATAATAGTAATGGGTGGAAACAAGAGCCTCAGCTGAAATATTAAAGGTCATATCCCAACATAAATTCCTAGAACTGGACTTCTAGTAAATTAGCCACCTATCTCAATAATTACAAACTGACCAGAAGTATACTGACAAAGATAATCATACAGTCTTAATGTGCTTGCAAATAATTGTAATGAATAGATAAACTGAGGGATTAGTCTTTTCATTGGAGTTCCCTGTAAGGAAAGCACTTCATTTCTATCTTTATATGAGGTATAACCAAAAAAAAAAAAAAAAAAAAAAAAACCATTGCTGTCGAGTCAATTCCAACTCATAGCAAACCTACTGGACAGAGTAGAACTGCCCCATACGGTTTCCAAGGAGTGACTGGTGGATTAGAACTGCTGACCTTTTGGTTAGCAGCCGAACTCTTTAACCACTGTGCCACCAGGACTCCAGATGAGCTATAGAACTAGATAATAGCAACATGTAAGATCCTAGTGGCCTTCTCTCTCTGATGCTGTAATAACCCAGTATTACTTAAAATAGTAACAATAAAGAAAGAAGAGTTCCTCATTTCCACTAAGATAACCAAAAGTCAGTGTCCCAGAACAATAATCGGACTCTTTTTCTCCTTGAATAGAGGTTTTGTTTTGAGCAACATCTTTGTTTGGCTTTGACTACAGCACGTAAGCAAAGAGTTGGAGGCAGCAATCTTTTAAATCTGTTGCTGCCAGAGCAAAATGAAAATTACTGGGAACAAATTATCTACATGCTAAATAGCAACAAGTAGTCATTGCTGACCCATTTGTTTAATAGGTTTTTATTACAAAGATTTCCATGAGCATCTTGGAAAAGATATTTCCACAGGCCAATCTGTAGATTGCTTAGCTTGAGAAAAATGTGATGCAATATGATTCTTGTATAAGTGAGGAATCTCGATAGCTATTGGACTTTACTGTAGTTGGATTTGATATCTTTTGCAAATCAAACCTTACTTTGGAGACAAAACAGCTTCTTATTGGATCATTACAGAGAAAGCAACTTTTTTAGAAAAAGTTTTACTTATAAAACTGTTTACATCATATTTTAGTTTCACACTTTAATAATTTTAAATTACTATGAGATTCTATATCAATGCAGAAAAAAAGTCCCCATAATTCTGAAAGGATTAATTATTTAATTTTATGGATTAATATGTGATTTATGGTTTTAACAACACAGATGAATTGAAATGTTTAATATAGTCACAACCAAATATTAGAAACAAACTTCATTAATAGACAACAGAACATCTCTTTCTGGTAGTCACTGCTTTTCTTTGTATCATTAAAAAAATGCCATCATTCTCACATCCATTAATGTTTCAAGTTACATAATGTCTATCTTTTTGTAGTTACTATTTAAAAAAAAAACAAAACCCATTGCTGTCGAGCTGAATAACTATAGTGGCTATGTTTTAAATTATATGTCATATTCTAAAGCTTGGTAAAGATGGCAGCCTTTGGAAGATTACATTTATTTTGAATTAAATATTCTTCAGTGAAAAAAAATACTTGCATAAAACTTTTTATGTGCTAGGGAATAAAAGATTTTCAAAATCTAATCTACAATGAAAGTTCATTAATTATTTTCAACTACAAAAAGATTTTTTTGGAAAGCATAGATGCTCTTTTTATATACACTTTTTCGATCTTAGTTAAGATCTAAAGTACTTATACAGAACTTACCCCATCAAAATGTTTATAAAACAATCCCTGCGTACTTGATATACTGCTAATAGCCAAGTATTTGTGATTAAGAACTTGAAACTATACAATAGTATCTCTCTGTAGTAATTAATAAAAATAAGTATGCTATCAAAGGCATAATTCACAATTTCTATAATATTAGAAAGTATTAAGAGTTTGTGGCAAATTGGAATCAGTATAAAAATATATAATCAGGTATTACTGGAAATTAGTTCTTTTCACAATTTAAGTGTACATAAAATTATTATTTAATAAATCAAAACATAAAGTTATAGCAAAATTCTTATTCTAAGCTCATGTTTACTAACAGCACTTGAAAATTAAGGTTTTTGAAGTGGTAAATAACGTAGGCCAAGAATCATGATTTTACTTAACACAGGATTTTTAAATCATAGAGAATTTGAAATATTCCTTACCGGAGCAGGATTTTCCCACTTTTTTAAAAAGTCTTCTTTGGCTTTGGCTAGAAACTCTTTCACTGAAAATACATATAAAAACAAATTTTGTCTTGTAAGAATATTCGTATTACATATAAACATACGTGCTTAAAAAAAAAAAGACTTAACTCAACTATGGTTGCCATGAAATGTGTATTCACAACCATGATACATTAGAGAGCTATTTACTTTCTCTAAATAAGAAGCAAATACGTTCTTAGAATTTCTAAGGATCTCTAGTTTATTTCCTAATTTTTCCAGGAAACTGTTCTACACAGAGATCACTTTGATGATTTAAAATCTAATAACACAAGACTGTTCCTGAAAACAAACCTGAAGATAATGTAAAAAAGCTAGAAATCAATCTAGTCCAAAATAGTGATTATAAATAAGCCAACAGTGGTATCAACAAGCCCTTTTAAACTTAAGAACTGAAAACATTTGGAGAACATGAACCTGTTGATTTGTGGAGTTTCAAAAATAATTGACTTTGATAAAAGGCTGTTTGCCAGTACAAGGATTTGTGGTTATTAGATTTGTGTTCTCTCTACTAAGGCTAGAGGAAAGGAAAAAAACCACACACTGACATATAAAGGATACTCACAGAGACTTAAAAACAAGACAAAGCACCACCAACAAAAACCCAAACAGCTTAAAAATCTCATTCTGAATTTGGAGAAAAAACTAAATGTCTGAATGCCTAATTTAAAATGTGCACTAAAGTAAAGCAATTCAAACTGGCTGTTTACATGTTGATCAATGAGGGCCACATTATTCTACAGGGCTGTGGCTTGAAGTTTTAGATTTTTTAATTAAATGATAAGTCATTTACAATAATTCCGTTTTTTCATTAACTTTTTACACAAAGTTGTTAACAATGGCTTTTGTTTACAAAATGACTTCAGGTATTTAAGGAAAAAAAATTCCAGGGAGAAAAAAATGGCATTAACAAAATGTATTCTTTATTCTTAATCCTGTAGTTAAGCGTGAGAATAAAACCTAACCACACAAAAGATAATTATTTTAGTGTTTCTTTTTTTGCTCAGAAAGTTCCCAACATTTCTGATATCTGAATCTTTAAATAAAAAAGAAAATGGCAGGAACAGATTTAAATAATGTTAAAATTGTAAAACGCTAACACATAAAGATGACTTTGGATTTTATTTGGAGTTTAAAGCAGACAAAGAGAACCTGGAGTGGCACACTGGCGTTTATTTCAGAAACACTAAGAGTGAGGATGATAATGACGATGGGGAAAAGACAGCAATTAAAAGTGGAAGTGAGGGGCACACAAATCCTTTAATAAAATCATCTAATGATGTAGTAATATTAAAGTGAGGCATTTTAAAAGATACACATGATTACTTCTTCCTTTCTCTCCAAGGTAATACCTCTGGCAAAACATTGTTACTAATCAAAAAGGCTGTTAAAACATACATTGGCATTATAAAAGTTTTTGAAGTTTTTAAAACAGTGATTATAAGCACCAAGAGCAGACATTAGTTTTTAAGTAACACTAGAGCATGCATTTCTGAAAATATTATTTCACTAGTTTATATAATCTGTCACTTGTATTTTGCTGTAAAATGCCCCCAACATACCTATTTTAGAAAATCAGAGAAAAATAATTGTAAAGATTAGAATCTTCCCATTGTATGAAAACCTCATCCACCAAAACAGTGAATTAAATAATTGCACCTAATTATCCAAATATGATCTCATTCCTCTAAGAGGTGAACTGAGGGTGAAGAATTTTTAAATTTTTTTTAGTTTAAGGTGGTTCAAGTCATCCTAACCCTAAAAGTTATTGTATTAGCTGCAACAGAAGAACAGTGGTTTTATAAGATTTTTTTTTGTGGGGGGGCATGGAACACATGGCATTAACTTGGAAGTGATGGTTATAAAATAAATTAAATACATAATTTTTTATTAAACACAACTTGTGGCTTTTTAAGAAACTTGTGATGCCCAAAACATACTTCTGATTTCTTTCAAAAAATATTTTTAGTCATATTTTATTTATAGAACTTTCACATCTAGTTGCAGTATGAAATCTCCAGCTGCCTGCCTGAGTGATAATTTGGAGACAAGGAAGAGAATCAGGGCAAGAAAAAAAAAATCCCTAATATCCTGTTTCAGCTTCTTTAGACACTTCATGCTAAGTGGATCTGGAGTTAAGAAAAAGATGACTGGTCAAAGGAAGAACTGGCAGTATTTTCCAAGGATGGCAAGTTGAAAAAATATTTCCTTTACCTTGCCTGGTGAACGGGCTAGAGAAAAAAAATTCAACTACTTCTTAATTTCACTCCTTAATAAGACATTGAAAGAATTTGTTGAAATACTCTTCATACTCATTAATATTCTGAGTTTTACTATAAAGTAATGCTATAGAAAGGAAAACATTTCTCATAATGATCTTCTGTGAAAATTATCAGAACTGTATATGAACCAAAGATATTAAATTTCGTGAATTACTTCAACAAATAAAGGGATTCTCTTTTAGAGGAGCACTATTTATAATGTCATTAAACTGTTCCATGAAGAACTCTGTTCCTGACTCACTTCTGTCCTATAAATGTATATATACACACATGAAATCTCTAGCTTATAAGTGCACTATTTAGATGTAAAGGTGAACATAGTTAACTCTTTGTAAAAATATAAGTTAACCAAAAAATACATCTTTAAAAACCAAAATCAAACTATTTCACAATATGCTAGATCATGAATAACCCTAAAATAATAGGCAATCCAGAACCACGTATATTTGCTTTAAATTTTATTATTTTTAGACACTGGTGGATTTAACTTTCTAAATGACTTTCTCTGGTTCATTAAAAAAAAATTTCTAACCACTGACATAAGGTGTTGGCCGCTAATTAATAAAATTAGTGGTAGGAGAAATAGCCAGATTCAAACAATGTACCACATTCAATCCAGAATGCCATATAAAGCATACTTTCTGAAGTTCTCTTTTTTAAAATTTTCTTGTTGTATTCTAACATATAACCCATATGCATGTTTTACCATTTGAGCCATTGTGAAGTACTGAAGCAGCCACAGGTTTTGGAGCTTGGCACATCTGAATTAGAATATTGGCTCTAATACTTCTTAGCTGTATCACCATAGGTATCTATAAAGCATCTAACAGTGATTAGTAAATCTCCTTAGGAAAAAAATACCTCAAAGAAGGATTTTTTTCTTTTTTTGGCAAATATATTTTGTTCTATACTGGTCAATAATAGAGCAATAAGATACTACAAAAATAAAAAGGATATACAAAAAATTAACTCAATATCTTCCCAGGAATATACATTTTCAATTATATTTATTTTTCAAATAAATTTATTTCTCTTCAGTGTGTATCATTTAAAGAATCTATCACATGGGGTCTTAGAGGAAAATAAGCATACCAAAGGAATCTATATATTCACCCAAGGTTTGTTTGCAGGAACATTCACCCATATTGATGAGATGAAGAAAGAAAAAAGAGACAATTTTTATACATTTCCACAAGTACATAAAAACACAACTTATTTCTTATCCCCCCAAGATATATTTTTATACATAGGACATGGTTTGAAAATCAGATTACAAAGTTCCTTTTAAATATTAGAAAAATTAAATAAAAATTCAAGTATAGCATAAGTTTATCCCACATAATTCAGATAATTCTACAGTGAATAAGAATATTTCACTAATAGCAGTTAGCAAATACTGTTTATTAGGTATTTTTGGGTACTGTGTTAGATAAACTAGATTACTGCTTATTATAAAAAGAGCCTGCTGTTAGTTACAGTATGCCATTATCCAATTTTAAAAGAGGTTATCATTCATGTTTTGTAAGAACAGTTTACAAATCTACTACTACACACATTATAATTACTGGAGGTGTTGAGTTCTTCAGTCTCTTTGTAATGAGATTAATTTCACTTCCCTCTTTAACAGCAATAAAAGCACAACTCTAACTTTTATTCAATATATGTCAGAAAAAATAGAAAGGAAACACAAAAGACAGAATAAAATAGAATACCAACTTCCTAGGGCAAATACCCAATTACAGTATTAGCTGTTTCATTCAAAATTTACAATATACTCTCTCTTTCAAAACCCATTCATAATCTGGGTAATCTAATTTAAGTGGCATATATTAATCTGTCTTCTGCTACCCTGTACAACTCCCACTGCTTCAAGTTCTGTATTTATTGTTTCCAAAATATCACACAAGAAACTGCAATATAAATCATTTCTATAGAAGGACTCGAGATAAAATTAAACAAGCCATTTCTTCCATCCACTAAAATATTTTATTAACTTGGTATACTTCATAAAAGTATAACTTTATGAGGAGCAAAATACCTTGCAAACAACCAAATAGAAAGTTTTAAAGGTAACATTTGTTCTATAAAAAGTAGTTGCCTACCAGATACTTCTGAAGAGGAGCAAGCTTGTGTCCAAAAAATAAATTGAACAATGATTAAATGACACTCATAAAAACACCGTATTAGCATCAAGTCACCTATACACACTTTCCCAGAATATTATACACAGAAATAAAATGTTAAGAAACAATTATTTGACTGTACATTTCAAGTCAGACATTTAAAAATTAAATGGTAAAGAAATAAAATCAGTAACTATTGTTTAGTGCTGAAATCCATACCACTCTAATTTTCCTTAACACAACTAACAAAAACTTTTAACTCTTCATAGCAGTACCAAAATTCGAACCCACTGCCGTGGAGTCAATTCTGACTCATAGCGACCCTATAGGGTTTCCAAGGCTGTAAATCTTTAGGCAAGCAGGCTGCCTCATCTTTCTCTCGAGGAGCGGCTGGTTAGCAGCTGACCACGCCACCAGGGCTCCCCTCATAGGAATAGGGCTCATAATCTTAAGAAACAAATATTGAATACATATCCTCAACTATTGCAATACCATCTCTGGACTTCTGTTATTTAGTCGAAATCTACTGTAGGAAAGGCACTAGGAATTATAACATCTTGTTAACCCCTAAGGAGCCCTGGTGGCACAGTGGTTACAAGTTCTTGGCTGCTAATGAAAGGTCAGTTGTTCCAACACACCAGCTATTCCGCAGGAGAAGGATGTGGCTGTCCTGTAGGGTTGCTCTGAGTTTGAATCAACTCGTCGACATGGGGTTGGTTTGGGTTTGATGTTAACCCCTTCTGAAAGACATTAATGTCTTTCAGGTATTCCACTTCCTTGGTGCTGGTTTAACAATCTTTTCAACATTTATTTAGCACCCTTTTATGGTGCCAGATACTAAGCTAGACTCTGGGAATACTACAAAAAATAAACATATCTTCACTGTTAAGGAGATGAGAAGCTAATGGGGAGACAGATGAACCACTGTAATGGAATGCGACAAGGACTATAAGGAAGGCAATTATAAGGTACTAAGAGAGCTGAGGAAACCCTGGTGGTGTAGTGGTTAAGAGCTACATCTGCTAACCAAAATGTCGGCAGTTCGAATCCACCAGGCGCTTCTTGGAAACTCTACGGAGCAGTTCTACTATGACCTATAGTGTCGCTATGAGTAGGAATCAACTTGACGGCAATACGTTTGGTTTTTTTGATTTGTTTTAAGAGAGCTGAAAAGAGGAAACTCTTGGGTAGTAAGGTAAGACATAATAGAGGACACAGCATTTGTGCTCAATTTTGAAGAATAAAGAGTTCCCTTAGGGAAGAAGACATTTTAGGCTGGGATGATCTTGTGTATAAAAGGAAGGGAGGAAGAGCATGGTTTATCTAGGGAATAACAACTGACTTGTAATAGCTGCAGCTTAAGGTCTGAGTGTGCAACAGCAGTGGAGGTGAAGTGTACCGGCAAGCAGGTGCAAAATCAGAGACATACTGGTTTGCCATGGTGATGCTTTTGGATATGTGGGAAGGTAGGAGAGTAAACTGAAGTTAGTTCACAATTGCTAGGTTCTATTTCCTCAGGGAAACAGGAGGCAAGATTACTTGCTAAGGGAGAGGGGAGCCAGATGGAGTAAGTAGGGATGAGGGTAGGGGTTAGAGGCATGAATATTTTAAAGCTTGATGGCTATCTATGTAGGGACTAGGAAAGGAGCTATTCCTCTGTAAGTTTCTATTAGTGAAAGAGGAAGTATTAAGTACTATATGCAATTATATAAATTTTAGTGGTATCTTTTATGTAATAATAGTTTAAACAGATTATAATTTATGGGCCCTGTAATATCACTGTAATTAAATTATTTTCATCTCTCTCCTTTATCTTAATACAGTGAAACCTGTGAGAGCCAGAACTTGGCAGGACCGCCTTGTTTTTCAGGGTCTCCCAAGTTTCCCGCCTTTGACAGATTGCAGTCTTACCACTTTTCTATGGCTCCTTTTAGTGGAAAATACTTGCGTTTTCTTTCTCTGACAGGTTTCCACCTTACACAGGTTCTGGTTTTTGCAGTTTTTACTGTACAAGCACTATTTTATTTAAGAATTATTTAGCATATGTCAGAAAGCACAAAACAAGATGGAATTCGAGGTAAATTACCTATGAAAATACCAAGTTCTATCAACAAATTAACAGTACAGTACAATCCCTTCCAAAGCCCCTGGGAAATACAAATCTACTGGAGTATATTAATCCATCTTCTGTCACCCTTACTTCAAACACCCACCTCTCTAGAGCTCTATACTTATTTCTAAGAACACCCCCCGACACACACACACATATACACTATACTATATACTATATAAATATAAATACAAAATAGTCAAACTGGCATAAAATGCCTCATAAAAATGCAACTTATAGTAATCAGAGTAACAAAATTATTCAGTAAAAATTGGTTTCCTACCAGATGCTTCTGGTGATTTGCGTGCTTGATAAAAAAAAAAATAAATTAAACAGAGATTAACACATGAATAATAATATATACACAATAAGTCACCCATCTATATATGTTCATTAGAATATTACACAGAAGTAGAATGAAAAAAATACTTGAGCATACATGTTCAAAAATGTTTTATATAAAGATTATAACAAATTCTTTGGAGATGTATATACACAGACACACACACCCATACATATTTTTTAAACCAACCAGAACCCTACTCTTGGGAAGTTTTAATGAAATATAATATTCTGTCCCTTATATCTGAAAGGTAATTGTGTTCATTTTGTTGAAGGGGGACTTTATTTGCCTCGCCATATTTAAAATGCACAAAGCAAATTCACTATAACCTTAAAAATGATCCAAAACCAAAAAACCATATCCATTGCCATCAAGTTGATTACTACTCATAGCAACCCTATAGGACAGAGTAGAACTGTCCCATAGAGTTTCCAAGGAGTGCCTGGTGGGTTAGAACTGCCAACCCTTTGGTTAGCAGCCATAGCTCTTAACCACTATACCACCAAGGTTTCCTTAAAAATGATAGTGGGTATAAATAACACCTTTTATTACTGCAACTGTATTTGTGCAGTTGAGTGGATGAGACCATACTTACTTTTGTTTTCTAAGCTATCAATTAGTCATTATACAAAGTCACCCATAAATGAGTGTCTGGAAATTTAATAGGCCAAAAAAGCTGTATTTCCTATTGCAATATTTATTTTACTCTTCTTTCCTCTTCTTACGCTTTATTATTAGCTAATTCTTTATCAAAGCTTGGTTACAAGTGAACAGTATTATTGACTATCTCCTTCACTAAACTGTAAAAAATAGAAAAACTTTTTATCAGATATATTTAAATAATCAAATTATAGAAAGTAATACATTAACTTATTTGAATAGTGTCTGCGTGGACAGACAGACTTCTACAGCTAATCATATGTACGTGCTTTCTCTCCCAACTTGCTCTCTGCTGGGGATGCTGTGGATTTTCTAGGCTATCCAAGCCATGTTTAATTGGAGATGTTCCCTATAGGATTTTGTAATGAAAATTTAAGCTAAATTTATAGTCATAAATCTAATGACCCAGGTGATCTTTGAAATGCTCCTTGAAATGCACTTTACTTCCTCGATTTTTCACTGAAGCTTTTTCTTGGAGGATTATTATATCTACCCAAATTGTATGACATGGATTTTTCACAGTCCTCAATTCAAATATTCTGTCTTGTTGCCAGACAAGAGCGAGGAGTGGATTCCCTAGCCAAAAGGGTATGCACATTTTCAACTTAACTAGATAGTGACAAATGGCGCGGTAAATGGTTGTGCCAATTTACATTCCCACCACAATATGAGAGTTCATGATGCTCCACATCCTCATCAAAATGTGCTACTGTCATACTTTTCAGTTTTTGCTAATTTAATGGGTATGAAATCACATCTTCCTGTTAAAGGAGATATGATTTCTATTTCTCAGTAGAATTTTATAATTTTTCCCTCAAAAGTCTTCTACATCTTTTATTAGATTTATCCCTAGATTCTTTAGACCTTTGGTTGCTATTGTAAATGGGAAATATTTAAAAATTACCTTTTCTGTTTGTTGCTGATATTTAGAACATAACTGATATTTATATATTGATCTTGTATATGACAATCTTATTCGATTCTTACTAATTCTAAAATAACATTGGAAGATTCTCTTGAATTTTCTACATAGATCATTCCATATCATCTGTGACCAAATATAATATTCTGTCCCTTATATCTAAAAGGTAATTGTGTTCATTTTGTTGAAGGGGCACTTTATTTGCCTCGCCATATTTAAAATGCACAAAGCAAATTCACTATAACCTTAAAAGTGATCCAAAACCAAAAAACCAAATCCATTGCCATCGAGTTGATTCCTACGCATAGCAACCCTATGAGTTTTGTTTCCTCCATCTTTTTCTTGTCTTACTGTGCAGGTTATGACTAACAAAGCAAGGATGTACAGAAACAATGGCAGTGAGCATCCTTTTCCTATTCCTAACTTCAGAGAAATTGTTTCTAACTAATTTTCTTTTCTCCCACTTTATTTATAAAGTTGTACTAGACCTAATAAATACATTTAAGAATATTTCCTCTTTTTCAATTCTCTGGAAGATTTTGTATAAGATCAAAATTCTTGTGCCTTAAATGTTTTCTAGAACTTGATTGTAAAACTGTCCAGGCCTAATTTTATTTGCTAAGTTTTGAGTAAAATTTTTAACTATGATTCAATTTTTTAAATAGGTATAGTTCTAATCAGTTCTTTTAGAAGTTTTTTCTATTAACTAACTTCTGGCTTTGATGTATCTTTATTTGCTATTCCATTGACTTTTGCTCATGTCTTTATTAGTTTCTTTCTTCTTTCAATTAACCATGCTGTGCTTTTCTTAAATCCTGGCTTTCTCTTTTCCTAATACAAGCATTTAAAAATTTCTCTCTAAATCCACTTTAGCTGCATTCCACAAGTTTTGATATGTACTCTAATTTTTAATTTATACTATGAGTTAATTCTTGATCCATGAGTTAGGTAAATTTTAAAATTATTTGAAATATATGCATTTCTGGGTTTGTTAATTTGTTTTAACCTTTTATTATTGGTTAAACTTAATTGTCTTGTTGTCAGAGGCTGTAGCCTGTATATATTAACAATTAACAGATCTCTGAATATGTTTAATCATATAACGAATTTTGTAAGTGTTCTATGTATTTCTTTGTATTCTCCATTTACTGGATAACAGTTCTCTAGATCTACAAATCTTATATATTTATAACTTTTCCTTCTAAATGGGTGAATTTTGTTTCATATCTTCTGAGGCCCTATTAGAGGTACATACAAGTTTTTTTCTCCTATTATATAATATATATATATATTTACATTTTTATTAATTTTAAATGGTAATCTGTGACAATTCCACTCTCTAATGTTCTTGGAAGAGTCTAATTCTGTTGTATCTGCTAAATATCATTTGTAGTAGATTTGTGTGCATGTGGGTCTATTTCGTTTTTGGATTGTGATATGTTCAGTGAGGCTATATCTGTGAGAGACCTGCAGGGCTTGACTTGAGAGGTGTCCCAGGGTATGTTTTGTATTAGCTTCCGTCTGGCATCCAGTGGATGTTACAAGCCAACAAAATAAAATGAACGTATTTTATTGCAGGTTCCTAGACCACACAATTAATACAGATTAAAGCCTGAACCCCACATGAGGGAAGGCAGTTGATTACAGATTTTAAGGGGAGGCTCTGGCACACCCTCTCACTACCTAGGAACCCAAGCTGAGGGAAGTTAAGCTTCCTTGTTTTCTCCCTGAATCAGTGGAGAGGTTTTATTTTCCAATCTACTCTTTCACTCAGGTTACCATACTTTGAGAATCGTGGCTTTATGTAGAGGTCTAAGAAACCCAACTCACACGGATCAAACAACTTGGCTTCTGTCTCTGTGAGGCCGTTTAAAATCAAAGGTATGAAAATCTCCTCAGGGAGTCGAAGCATGCTCTCCTCCTTACAATCTCTGGTTTTCATTTATTACTTGATTTTTTTGGACCTCGGTGATTTCTATTATATTCTTTTAAGTTCAGATATTCGTTTAAAGGGATGCTTGCTATATTTTATTCAGTATTTCTAGGTGCCCTAGAAGGATTTTCAAGGAGCTTTGGTGGCACAGTGGTTAAGCACTTGGCTGCTAACCAAAAGGTTGGCGGTTTGAACCCACCAGCTACTCGAGGGAGAAAGATGTGGTGGTCTTCTTCCATAGATTACAGCCTTGGAAACCTTATTGGGCAGTTCTGCTCTGTCCTATAGAGTTGCTATGAGTTGGAATTGACTCGATGGCAATCGGTTTGGTTTTTCAGTTTGGTAGAAGGATTTTCAAGTTATCTAGTCTCCAATTTTTGGCCTTTTTTCTTTATAGGGCAAGCTTCATGCTATGTTGTAAGATGCAAAGAGGCCTGTGAAATTCCTTCTTTATCCTTGATATTAAGAAATTTCATCGAAATATATTTAGGTATTGGCATCTTTCTTAATCTTTGTCAAAACACGATGAGCTCTTTCAGTCTACAGGTTCAAGTTTTTTCTTCAACTAAGTTTTCCTAAATCATAATTTTGATTATTGCTTCTGCTCAGTTAGTCATTATCTGTTATGTGGGAATGCTATTCTTTTTATTTGAATAATTTCCTACTTTCATCTAACATACGTTTCCCCTCATAATTTTTATCCCGTCCTTCCCCCCTACATTCTGGTAGGGTTTATCAAGAGAGTTCTTCACATCATTAATTTACTTTCCTGCAGTGATTATTCTGCTCTTTACTGCTTCTAATGCAACTTTATTTTCTGCAAATGCCAGTGTTATGGATTGAATTATGCCCTCCCAAAATGTGTGTCAACTTGGCTAGGCCATAATTCCCAACACTCTGTGGTTGTCTACCATTTTGTAATCTGATATGATTATCCTATTGTCATAAATCCTAACCTCTATGATGTTAACGGAGCCCTGGTAGCACAGTGGTTAAGAACTCAGCTGCTAACCAAAAGGTCAGCAGTTCAAATCCACCAGCTGCTCCTTGGAAACCCTATGGGGCAGTTCTACTCTGTCCTACAGGGTCGCTAAGTTTCATGCTGTACAAGCAGCAGAGAAACCTATTTTATACATAGTGAGGATAATAAATCAACTCGATACCAATGGGTACGGGTATGATGTTAACCAGGCAGGATTAGAGGCAGTTACGTTAATGAGGCAGGACTCAATCTATAGGATTAGGTTGTGTCTTTAGTCAAATCTCTTTTGAGATATAAAATAATGAAGTGAGCAGAGAGACAGAGGGACCTCCTATCACCAAGAAAGCAGAGCTGGGAGCAGAACACATCCTTTGGACCTGGGGTCCTCGCGCTGAGAAGCTCCTCAACAAGGAGAAGATTGATAACAAGGACCTTCCCCAGAGCCAACAGAGAAAGCCTTCTCCTGGGTCTGGCTCCCTCAGTTTGGACTTCTAGCCTCCTAAACTGTGAGACAATAAATTTCTCTTTGTTAAAGCCATCCACTTGTGGTATTTCTGTTATAGCAGCAGTAGATAACTAAGCCAGCCAGGTTTATTTTATTATCAACTTTCCTTATCATATCATTATGCTTCTTTTCTATTCCTGACTGTCTCAGGCAACTCTCTTTTCATCTGTCTCTCACTATATCTTATCTTTCATGTCTTGTTTCACAGACTTTATGTTCACTTAAAATTTTTAAGAATTCAACACAGATGCTATCTATAATTTCTTATATTTATACCCTCCCCCACAAATATTTTCTAAATATAAGTTCTCTCCTCTTGAAGGCAGTGATTTTTATTCAGTAAAAGTGTATAATCTCTTTAATAGGTGCCATGCTGTTGTTTTTCTTGTTTATTCATTCATGAACGATAAGAAATCTTTCAAAACTTTATAAATACCCCAAATAAGGTGGGTTGTTTTTCCTTGTATCCCCTTACTTCCTACTTAGGTGCTTTAGAATCACCTTCTCTGATCTTTAGTTGACACATATTTATGTTATCAGTTAAATAATCCAGTGACCTTCTGTGATAGGAATGAATTCAGGACTACAGGGTTCCTTCCCAGTGGTGATGCCCACCATATCAGGAAAGAGCCCTGCCATATCTGGAAGAAGAAAGGCCTATCTTTTAACTTGGAATAGCCTAAAAAATACTTGGTTGTCCCAGGATAGCTGTTTTAGAATGAAAGTGATAAGTAGTGTTGGATCCCCCACCTATCTCTCCCATAGTCTCTCTTACTTACAAGCTAAATTAGTGAAGGTGAAGCTATTATTTATTTCTTTTCCATGAAGTCAGGCTACTCAGAATAAAACTGTTAAGATTTTGGTGTCTAATCTTCATTTACATCCTATACATGTCTTTCCTTAATTCCAGGACTGATAGACTGTTTTCTCAGTTTTGTGTTCTCATAGTAATTTTAATCAGGATCTAGAAAGGTGAAATACTTAAATGCTTGTCCTCAGTTATGCAATTTTCCTGTAATTCACAGTAGGTTAATGCCTTCTTCTTCTGAGATTCATCCTCAACTATAGCTGGGCCAATCAGAGCTCTCATCTGGGATTTTGATACAGTGAGGCGAGTTATGTTCTGATAAGCACATAACTAGGAGTACACATAAATTCTGAAACTGTGGGGTAACTAAGTTTCATGCTGTACAAGCAGCAGAGAAACCTATTTTATACATAGTGAGGATAATAAAGCAGATACAAGCAGGGAAGTAGAGTAAAACTAACATGTGGTCCCAGGGAGAAAAACCGAGAAAGGAATTGCTGTGGTTCCTGTCAGCTTCCCAATTCCCAGCTCTAGTCCTTGATAAAGCTCAACTTTACTTTCTGCCTTGAGCTCCATGAGATAACTCTGCATCCTGATAATACAGGTGTCCTTTTCTGCTTAAGCCAGTTTGAGTAGGTTTCTAGTACTTCTAATCAAAGGGCCTTAAGACAGTTGCATTGACTTTTAAAAGGGCTCCTTTAGTATTTCTTTAAAAAATACTGTTTGCTTACCAAGAGCAAAACTTCACAAAAACGATTACAACCCAAGAAAGAAAAATTTAGAAAGAAAAGGCTCTTTTCATACTAATTTTTTTTTAAATACTAGAAAGATAAAAAGTTGTGATTGGAGTGGTACAACTTAGTTTCTTAATTATCTATATAACATCATACTACAAAGATGCTGCAAGTATAACAAAAAGTAAACACTATCATTATCATGTTTTCTGAAGAAAAAAAACACAATTGATATTTTTCATGGGTAATGTAAGAAAAGTGTTCCAATATGTCAAAACTGAATGGTTTTTAGTAATCCATTTATTCCTCAAATATCCATGGGTTGCTTAGTATGTTCGGACACTGGGGTAACCACTGAAAACACACAGATGAACATGGCACTATCCTTCACTTAAGGTGTTCAAAGTTGAGAGATCAAAACTAACATGTAAATAAATAATTCAATACAATACAATAATTATTATAGTTTATAAGTTTGCTTTGGGAATACAGAGGAACCATCTAACTCTACAGAGTCAATGATGGAGGCACTGAAAAGGATGGCTGGTTTGCTGAATTTTTATGATAAAGGGTATAAATACAGAAAGATAGCAAGGAACTATATGTAGTGTAGTAGTATGGTTACATCAGAGAATGTTACGGGAGAGATGCAAATAAAACCAAAAAAATAGGCCATTGATCTCCTATGCACCACAAACACATATACATCACATGTATAGCTATAGATTTAGGTTAAACAAACAAACAAACAAAACCTGGCATTTGCTTATTTTTAAGAATAAAACAACACTTGTAATTTTCCACATTTTGAAATGCGTAGGGCATTTAACCATTTATGGCACAAGGAAGATTATTTGAAATTGGACGATTCTGAAAAAATCAGGATGTCTAGTTGTGATTACTATGATTCCTGTGGTAGAAAAAGGCTATAAAGGCAAGCTGATATGATCAAGTATATAAAATACTATTTGTATAATCCACAGCTTTTTTGAAGATGGGTCAAAGAAAAATAAAGCAATAGAGAAGCAGCAACAATTTTCTTTAGCTAAAAGCAACACATCCTATTTTAAAACCTCCAGAATACCAGAGTGGTTACCCAAAGATTCTATGCCATATGCCAAACTTTCAAAGAGAAAATACACATTGGCCTGATTCAATGAAATTTAATATTTTAAATATGATTACCAGGCATATTCAGTTTTGATATTCATGGAAGTCCCAAGGAATGTTAACATGTTCATTTTGTAATATTAGTTCAAATTTAAAACACAGATCAGCAAGATCTAACTACTTCAATAACAGGAAAATAACACTCCAGTTATGTCTTATTATCTTGCATATAAAATGTTCCTCTGAAGTCTAATATTCTATAATCAAATATCTAACAGAGTGTTGAAGAGGCTTATGATGTGCTGCAGCAGAATAAAAAATACTATTTTTTAATAAGTGATAATGAGATATCTCCAGTTACGGAAGAAAAGGTTCATCTACTATTTTGAATTCTATCATTATACAGCAAAAATTCATCTCTCTCAGGTTCTGAATTCCAATTGCTAAATCTTTTAAGTGTACACTATAGGACTGTTATGTTATCAGAGAAACCATACAACACTTCTCCTAAAAATGATATCTGAATCAAAGCTTAATTTATGAACTTCCTCTTTTTTAGTTAAGCAAAAATATGCTAATGAATTATGCTGTGAGCAAATATTTCTCACTGAACAACAGGATATCTATTTTTAGCTACAGGTTTGGCTTAAAGTGAACAGCTCTTATTCTATGATAAACTGCAGTATATACTGTAGTACATTTTCTCAAAAAAAAAAAGTTGAAAATGTTTAGAAAAAATAAATCTTATTATAATAAAAAGGAGACTAATTATCACAAATACATATATTCTAGTAAATTATTTTCCTCAAAAAATTGTTTCTTAAAAATTTTAACAAAGCAAAATTTAACCAAAATGCATATATATACTTCATCATTAAATCCTTATTTCTCATTTAATTGTAGCTAAAAGCAACCAACAAATCAACAAAATTTTGACAGCATCTTATTTTTAAAATTAGTATTTTTTTAATAATCAAAAAGAGGCTAACAAAAATTAATGTTAGGATGACAAAGCTAATCAAAGGAAAGTTAAACTAATTATCATAAGGACCAGGCACTAAAAAAAATATTCTTTTATCATGATGGATCTTGTACTCATTAATTTATAACACGATTAATAACAACAGAACCTAGTAAATACAATAAATCAAACCATAGAGAAAATTACAAACTGATTACTGCTATTAACTATTATTACCGGTATTAATTATTTACAGTTGTTAATGGCTTTTAGAAGCAAATTACTATAATGACTAAATGCAAAAGCATCAACACAAAATGTAATTCACTGTAGTCTTAGCTTTACAACTGGCCCTTTAAAAAAGATCTTTTTTCCTCTTATAGTTAAAATATTTTTTAAAAATATATAGCTTTAGAGTCTCAGAGAGCATACTTACCACTCATGATGAAAACCAACCTTTCCAAAACATATTGTTCAAAACCACAATCCAACAGCAAAGGGAGTTATGCTAATCTCTAGAGGTAGGAGAACTGATGGTGTAAACACATACACTGGAACATGCAGCACACAGAAAATGAAAAGAGCTTTCTTTTGTTTAAAAAAAAAAAAAAGCCCTTAGAAGCAAAGCATAACTGCCCAGCAGGAGATATCACTAGTAAACATCAGATTAATACCAAGGATATGTACAAGTAGATTTCTTATTAATTTCTATCACGCTAGTTGTCCTTGCCTCCTTCATATACCACTAGAACAACTCAAAATGGCAGGGAGAAAATGTTCGAACCAGGATGTATAAGATGTTCTCAGTTATATCAGCATGAGTTGTTACCACGGCAACATTAAACCA